GAGCTGAAAACAATGTTTTGTTAGTTCCAAAAGTTTTTTTTAGTAATATTTTGGACCTAAAAGATGCCCAAGAAAACAGCTCCAGTTTCGACCTAAGCAAAAGCAGCAAATTTTAATCAATTTTTTGATTTTTTTGCTAGTTCAAAACATAACTTTCATAATTGTTTGAATCGTTACTTCTAAGCAAAGAGTTCCTGTCCTAAGCAAAAGCAGCAAATTTCAAACAATTTTTTGATTTTTTTGCTAGTTCAAAACATAATTTTCATAATTGTTTGAATCGTTATTTCTAAAAACATAAATCACTTCGGATTGTTTATCAATATGTTTCTTCCCGACTGTTATGCCGTTCAATATGCTGGCTGTTTGGGATTTTTTGTAGTCTTGTGTGCTGTATGTGCTTATTTCTCACAGGCACAGACCAAAAACTCTACCCAAAAACAGTTTTTGATAGTTAAGAAAAACTTACTGGACCACAAAGTCGAAATCGGAAAGCCACAAAGTCGTTTCAGTTTTGAAGAAAATTGAGCTCAGTTTAGACTGAAAAAATGGAACTAAAAGCAAACAAGAAATCGCCAAGTTGCAACCAATTGTGACCAAGATGACCAAAGCATGACACTGTTCACTCAAAAAATTAGGAACAAAAGTGATCATCATGACAGAATGAAAAAAATTGAAGAAAATAAGCAGAAGTCATTCAATTTGGTAATTTTTCGAAAAAAAATTTTAATTCGATTTGTTATCCTTCATTTTATAGCTACAACAAAATAAACAATAGCTGAATATCCTTCAGATGACGGCCGTATCTCAAAAAGCATAAAACTATCAAATCTTTTAAATGGATTATAGGAAATCTCCCAAGCTCTGGTTGACCAAAAACTGGTATTTAGAAATTTTGTAGGAAAAATCCAAAAATCCAACTTACCACAAAATTGGTTTTAAGGCGGTTAAAAAAACGAAATGCTATTGGAAAGATAAAGTTAAGATTCTTAAATATTTTTTATTATCAGAAACAAAGTTCTCCGTTGTCGCAGACGGGAATCTCATAGGCAACATTTAAAGTTTCGCTGCATGTTGTCTTCGACAGAAGTGCATCTTAACAGCTTATTGTTCACAGACAATTGTTAATTGCGGAATACATGAAAATTTTTATCAATGTGTATCCACACGCAACACGTTCAAACCTAAACGTTGTTATCTCAAACATTTCCTCATGAAGCGGTAGAAAAATAAGGGATATTTCCTACAAAACTTAAGAATTTCCCAAGAAAATACTTGTTAGAGGAGTCGATTTAAATATTTTAAGGGGTTCTTAATAGCTCCCAGAGTTTGCGCAAGAGTCTAGTAGCAATAAAACCCCAATTCAGAGAGAAAAGAATTTTCGAATTTTTTCAAACTAGGTTTGAGTAGTGTTAATTGAAAATAATCGCTCGCGGACTAAATTTACTAGGATAAAATCCCTCATGATAAAATCCCATCGGATATAATCCCCACCCGCATCCAGTTTCAAGCGTTAATAATCGATTATATTACGATTTTAGTACCAGTCTCACTAAAATTGAGAAACAATCGATTTTGATCAATTAATAATCGATTATAATATCTTTTTTTTCAAATCAAATTATAATTAATTATAATCCATTATAATCAATTTTTTATTCGTCTTTTTTTTGATACAATTATAATCGATTATAATTGATTATAATCCATTATTTTTATTCAAAATTCTATTTCGTTACTTTTGCACAAAAATCCATTATAATCGATTATAATTGATTATAATCCCTTTTGTTTGTCCATTTTTGTCTTCGAAGTTGCATCTAAATTGCTTATATTTTATGCTTTTTGTGGACGTTGGTTCCTATGAAAAATGAGAGAAATTTTTTCAAAATTTTCCAATTAATTCATATTTATAAGTTTTTTTTCCATTTCTTCCCCATTAGAATTGTTTTGTGATGCATATTTTAACCTTTTATATACACCAAAACATCAGCAAATTGATTTAGTTTCATGATTGATTCGGAAAAATTATCTTTCATCTACCGCGAGAACTTTTCCAGTCATATGAAAGGATCTCTGTTAAACTTTTGTTTCGTGGTAAAACTTTGTGTTCAGATGAACCAAAGTGTTCAAGAGATCTCTCATTTAGAGATTTTCTTATTGACACAAAAATAATAACCCATAAAATACAATTCGAAAATAGGAAAATTCCGGCAAAATAAGAGATTATAAGCGATTATAATCAATTATAATTGATTTTAAGGGTTTTTAGTAAGAACTATAATCAATTATAATTGATTATAAGAGATTATAATCTCTTGGAAAATATCACGATTATAATCAATTATAAATCCCTTAAGGACCTAATTTTGGTAATTATAATCAATTATAATTGTCAAAAATCATCATAATAATCCGTTATAAACGATTATTTACGTCTAAGCTTGGATGCGGGCAGGACTAAAACCTCTATACGGTTCGTCGCAAAATATAAACAATTTATTCCTTTTTTAAACAATTATAACAAAGTGTTTTGAATTTTATTGAAGCAATTGTAAACAACATTATATTTGAATTTCAAATATAATGGACTTTTGGAGTTTGTCTCTTTAAAATTCAAAAACACTTCGTTATAATTGATTTAAAATGGAATAAATTGTTTCTATTTTGTGATGCAATGTAAACCCTTACTAGTCGATTTTAATTGCTTATTTTCAGTTTTTTAAAAAAAACAATTTTTGCCGAAAAACTCACAATTCAGTTGATTACAATAGATAATACTCAGATTATTTATCTTGTTAGCCCCATATTCTCATAGGTAACGCCTACTTCATATTTATATGTTCCCTCCTCTACTTCGGCGGCGGAGAGGTTGTGAAAGGGGGGACATGGGGTGTGAGATTGAGGGGAAGAGGGGGTACTATTCAGTTGAAATGGGAATAAACTTGCTTGTTCGGGCTTACATTTTGCAGAAAGCTGTGAAAAACTGAGTATGAGATTGTTATTGACAAAAAATGATCGGTTTTCATAGCTTTAATTTACATAAAATAATCGATTATATTGAAATCAAAAACTGAAATTTTTAGTATTCTCTGACATCATTTTTTCCAGCCCCACATTAGCCCATATCCTCAAATTTACCTTCTACTTCATGAGCAACAAACTGTTTCGGCGGCGGAGAGGGTGTGAACGGGGGACGTAGCGTGTGCGGTTGAGGGGAAGGGGGGAGGGTTCAGTTAAAATGGGAATGAACTTGCTTAATCGGGCTCAAATTTTGCAGGAGAGCTGTGAAAAACTGAGTGTGCAATTAAAATTGACAAACAATGGTCAATTTTTATTGATTTAATTTACATAAAATAATCGATTATATATTGAAATCAAATACCGATTTCAATCGGTCTCAAGGGATTATAATGGGTTCGTATTTTTAGAAAAAAAATAGCTTAAAGTCCATTACGTTTTGCTAAATTTGCCGATAAAACCAATGATCTAGACAACAGTCTAGTCAAGATATAATAATTGGTGCTGGTAAACATGGCTCACAAGGCGCAAGAAAAACCACTCAATTTAGAATTACTGCGAGCATTTTGAGAGTAATATGAATATAACAGGGGCAGTATAACAGTGCCGAAGTACAACGGTTTGAATAGAAGATTGAATGGGTTGTATCCGAAAGCAAGATAGTCAAGATTGTTCAATTAATAATTCATAACAATATCTGATTTAGTTGCAAGTTATCAAAACTTTTCTGATATCCTCTCTTCACATTCACAGCTAATTGATTTGTTGTCAATTACCCAACTGAAAGGTCATGGATAAATGTTTGTGAACCAAATTCTTCGCAAAAAAAACAATTTATTCAATTTTTAATCAATTATAGCGAAGTTTTTTTTTATAGTTTATCTCTTTAAAATTCAAAACTACTTCGTTATAATTGATCAAAAATGGAACAGATATTGAATGCGATTTTTCTATGATTCTTCCAAGCAAATTTTTTCGTCACCCGCATCTAAAAAAGTGAAAAGAAACCTTTTATAATTAATTTTATTCAAAACTTTATCATATAACCGCTAAAATTAGACGTTAAAATTGAATAAGACATTGAAAATATTCCATCGTTTTAATCAAACTCAAATTTAATCTTAACTCATTCAAAATCAATTGAAATTGACTTTTTGCATCAGACTTTTTTCACGTCGTGCAAAAATTTTGTAAAATTTCTGCATTCATTTAATGAGTAATGCAGAAATTTGCAAAATGGGTGCACGCCTTACTCGATTTTTGTAAATAAACTGTCTCAAATTGCCAAACGACTCCATGCCAAAACCACCCCCCACCCAGGTTTGTTAATTTTGACCGACCCACCTCATAAGCATTTCGATAGATTTTTTCTGTTCAATTTTTTTTCTAATTACAAGTAAAATATGCCATTTTGCC